GACAGGTTACAAGCAGCAATATACAGTGGGGAAAAAAGTATTTAGTCAGCCACCAATCGTGCAAGTTCTCCCACTTAAAAAGATGAGAGAGGCCTGTAATTTTCATCATAGGTATACCTCAACTATGAGAGACAAAATGAGGAAAAAAAATCCAGAAAATCACATTGTAGGATTTTTAAAGAATTAATTGGTAAATTCCTCTGTAAAATAAGTATTTGGTCAATAACAAAATTTCATCTCAATACTTTGTTATATACCCTTTGTTGGCAATGACAGAGGTCAAACGTTTTCTGTAAGTCTTCACAAGGTTTTCACACTGTTGCTGGTATTTTGGCCCATTCCTCCATGCAGATCTCCTCTAGAGCAGTAATGTTTTGGGGCTGTCGAAGAGATCTCGATCACAATTTTTCTTTCCTACAAGGATGTTCTATTCCAGATATTCTCTAAAGCGAAGGGCTGAGAGATCATCTGTCCCCGCCTCTGACAAGGCCATTGCTCCAGACTCACAAAGGAATACTCCAACTTCATTGAGTGAAAGGCAACACAAAGCAAACAAACCCCCCACCCCTCCCCGGCAGGCCTCCGCTGCTCTCCCCTCCTTCTCGGGCTCCTGCTATTCAAGGGAAATGTGTATTTCCCACACTGAAGTTATCCAGCAGGGTCTGCCCGGCAGGGGTTTTGCCTTGGGGTGAACGGGGAGATGGACTAGAGGTTACATCAACACACACACACCGCTGCGGCATGTCACATCCTCACCGCCGGTTGCCTTGGCGCTGTTAGCCTGCAGCTCCGGGCCAGGAGAGCAAAAAGCAAAACCAAGCCGTTCTCCTTCTGTACCTCATGAACATCAGGTTTTGTTTTTCTCGCCAAGTCATTTATTACACATCCCATTTACTTGGAATTATGATTATTATAATGAATTATGATCATTTCACAGTGCTGGTAACCTGCAATTATGGTGACATTGATAAAGGACAAAGATGCTAATGGCGAACATCTGCGTTTAATAAACACTGACCAGACGAACGGCACCCTTTAATCACTCACTGTCTGTTTTAAATGCTACTGATACGTTTGACAGACAAAACGCTCCTGTCCAGACAGACAAATTCAACTCTAATTAAGATGGAAAGAAAACAAAGAAACACTGAATGAAAAAAGAAGGAACATCTGTCCATTTGTTAACATTACCTTACTACATTAGTTAACATGAACCAATTAAGTTAATCTTTGCAACATTTATTAACACATTATTAAAATCAAAATCTGTTAATATTAATTAATGGACCTGAGCTACCATGAACTAACAATGAACAATATTTTAATGAACAAAGATTCATAAATACTGCAACAAACATTGCATTAACTAACGCTAACTAATTACGCAAATAATGAATGAAGACAGAATGAAAGTATGACAGAGCAACAGAAAGAGGAATAAGGATGAATGAAAAAGAATGGAAGAATGAAAGAGAGCAACAGCAAACGAACAAATTAAGAAAGAATGAACAAACAGAACCAACAAATAAAAATGAGAGACCAGAATGACTGTGCAACAATAAAAAGAAATAACATTAAAATAAAGAATAAAACAAACAAACAAGAGAACAGAAGAAAAAAAATGACAGGAGAGAATGAAAGACCAACTGAAAGTCAAAGTGAAAGAAAGAGCAAAAAAACTGAAGAAAGGAAAGAAAGAGCAAAAGAAAGAGAGACAGAAAGTGAGAGAGCAAAAGAAAGAGCAAAAAACAGAAGAAAGGAAAGAAAGAGCAGAAGAATGAGAGACAGAAAGTGAGAGAGCAAAAGAAAGAGAAAGAAAGCAAAAAAGCATGAAAGCAAAAAGCAAAGAAAGAAAGAATGAACAGTTGCAGAAAAAGACAAAAAGCAAAAGAAATAGAAAACTAAGAAAGAAAAAAGAAAGAATACAATGAAGAAAAAAAAAGAAATGAAAAGTAAATAAATGTGACAGAGCACAAAATAGGCAATGAAAAAAAGGAGGGCAAAAAAAAAAAGAAACGACTTTGAAACTCCTGTAATTTTCTCTCTCCATTACGACAGATTTTAGTGCACTACCACAAACTCAACAGCTCTGCCATCACATCTGGAGCACAAGACTCAAAAAGCAGAACAACTTTCAAAAACGACCCCAAACCTGCAACAGCATCTCAAACACACACACACACACACACACACCTGACCTGACCGTCCCGCGGTGATGAACAGGTGCAGGTCATTAGACCCGACGCTGCCACCTTCCCCTGTAAGATGTGCGTAAATCCTTGTTGTGGAAAATGAAAGAGTGAAAGTAGTTCTAATTACAAAATGTAAATATTGAGTTTTCCCACAATAGGAAACAGACCACCCAAGATGCAAAACAACCCCCAAACCCTTCCCCCCTCCCCTTCTCTGTCTCTTTCTCTCGGCCGTCCTGTCAGCGCGACAGGAAAAGGAAACCTTTTGAGCATCACCAAACGTAAATGCACACACACCAGACATACACGAGTGACCTCCGACATCACTGCATCATGCTTGCGTAACAATCCATTAGCCGTGACCTCCAAATGAAACAAAACGTAACATCTACTCCTCCCACCCTCATGCAAAAGCTTGCTAAATACCCAGAGGTTCAGTGAACGCTTTCAGAGTCACAGGTGAATGTCAAATACTTAACTTTACAGTGCTAAATACCTTTAAATGACCTTCATGATACTGGCTTCCAGCTCTCGGCCATATGGAACTGAGCAACATGTGGTCAGCATGGATCGAGCCCCGAGAGTTGCCATTTGTTGACGTTTGTTTGTATGGAGAGCATGTCGGTGAGTGATGGGGAATGGAGGTGAATGAGGGCTCAGCTGGGATCTAGAGCTCAGCCCCTCTGGACTCGAGATGTCTTCATTCTGAAGGTGTTCTAGAGCCCCCGAAGACCCTAAACACACTTTGTTTCAGAGCTGTTTCTTCAGCCTCTTCCACCCAATCGATGCTGGGCTTGGTTCTACACTCTCAAAAATAAAGGGAGTTTGCACAGCGATGCCATAGAAGAACAATTTTTGTGAAGAATGTTTTAATAATCTACAGACATTATTCCTTTAAATTAACCTGTAGTGCAATGGAAAGATTCCATCACTTTAAAAAATAAAAGTTCCAAAAGGGTTTGTACAGCAATGCCATAGAATGCTCCTAAAAATAAAGGTTCTATATTGGCATTGATGGTTCCATGAAGAACCTTTATCATCCATGGAAGCTTTACATTGCACAACAGGTTCTTTATAGTTCTTTTAAGAACGGTTCATTGAAAGGTTCTTTGGGGAACCAAAAATGGTTCTTCTATGGCATCACTTCGAAAAGCCCCTTTTGGAACCTTTATGAAGAACCATTTTTGGTTCCACAAAGAACCTTTCAATGAACAGTTCTTAAAAGAAGCATCTTAAAAATAAAGTTTCTTCACTGGCATCTCTGGTTCCATGAAGAACCTATAACATCAATGGAATCTTTCCATTGCACAAAAGGTTCTTTATAGTGGAAAAAGGTTCTTTAGATTATCAAAATGTTCTTCTTGCTAAGAAAAAAAAAAGGTTCTTTTAAGAAATGTTCACTGAACGGTTCTTTGAGGAACCAAAAATGGTTCTTGTATGGCATCACCGTTTTGAAACATTTATTTTTAAATATTGTGAAGAACTTTTTAATAATCTTCTTTTCCAATAGAAAGATTCCATGGATGTTAAAGATTCTACATGGATCTGATGTCATCAAAAAACATAAATTTTTAAGGATGTATTAAGTTAAGTTGTAACTGACTACATTACTTTATTAACCTGCCCAAAAACAAGCATATCACATTGCTGTCTGTTCTTTGAAAACACATTTTAACACACAGTAATGTAATTCCTATGTAAGTTATAATTAATCAAATCGATATCAAACAATATATATTTGATTTGATTTGATTTTAGATACTGGAATTTGAGTTGTAGGAGTTTGAGAACATATTGGACATCTTAATTCAGCATCTTTATGCCAGTCAGTTATGCTTATAACAGTCAGAATTTATGTAATGTATAACTCCAGAGATGCATCAGCTGGATACTAGATCACACCAGTGGTGCACGACCCTGCGAACTCTACACCTCTTTATTCTACAGGTGCTTGAGAGGGATCTGCAGACGATTGCGACAAACCCCTCAAGTTAAGAAAACCTTTAGTGGTCATTTGTTTATAATTATAACTAAGCGTTATCTTAGCTTCAGAAGTTTGTTGCAAGCAGGCCCTGCCCTCTGGACTCTAGAATGGTCTATTCTACACTCTTAAAAATAAAGGTCCTTTACTGGCGTCTGTGATTCCATGAAGAACCTTTAACATCCATGGATCCTTTACATTGCACAAACGGTTCTTCACAGTGGAAATAGGTTCTTTGGAATATTAAAATGTTCTTAATACTAAGAAAAATTGGTTTTATGAGAACTGTTCATTAAAAGGTTCTTTGGGGAACAAAAAATGGTTCTAATACGGCATTTCAGTGAAATGGGACCCTAAATGAAACTGAACTCCAAATCATTTCATTTTAGAGCCATTCTAGAGACTTTTCCAGTGGTTGAATTGCTAAATATCTGCACCCCCCCAACATTTGACACCATGCATGTGCAATGAGCAAAAACGTATTGCCTCTAATGTAACAGACAGACTGTGTGACATTAACTGGACTGGTTTCTTGAACACCTAGCAAAAGTAGTAAAAGTGCGGCATATTTTACAGTTTGGTGCATCGTTATTGCTGTCAATGATCACGAAATTCTCCACACGTTATAATAAACACACCTGCACAGTATAAACAGTTCAAAGATGCTAAAAATACCTGTTTAAGTCAACTTCAGCACAGTTTGGGGAAAACTGCGTCTGCGTCCCTTAAGTTGTTCTTACTGAGCACGAATCATCAAACTGTTATTTCCCCAAGTCATTCCTCAGCCAAAAGGTACATATCATGGTGAGGGTGAAAGGGGAACTTACCTTGCGGGTTTCTGCTGGCAGAAGCGCCGGCTGGCTGCTGGACAAAGCCGAACAGAGCGACGCTGAATAATCCAACGCCAGCGCGCATCAGAACATACATGAACATCATATTAAACACCTTGAACCTTCACAGAGAGGGGCAAATCAAATAAAAGCGGACAACTGCGAGACGAAGAGTCCAAACGTGGATGAAGCTTTATCCCCGGCGCTGGAAACGGAGCGTCTGTTGAATGAGAGAGCGCGCGCGTGTGTTTTATTTCTTGGTTTAGCGGAGATTGTGTGCGCGGAGATCAGGAGGAGAAACACGGTCGAGATGAGTGCTCATGGTCTTCAGTCCTGCTGGAGACACAGAGAGAGAGAGAGAGAAAAGGGGGAGGAGAGACGTGAGCCAATTGTTAGTCAATGGAACTTCATTGGTAAATTTTAAATAAATAAAGTTCTAGAAATAAGAAATGCAAACACATTAATTACGCGGTTAATGCTTTTGCTGATTATATAAATGTAAGAACACAAGAAAGTGCAAAACTAACTTCTTATACTAAAAACGGCAAGCATGCTTTTGGCTGCATAAGTAGAAAGAAACGCATATGTTTATTTCTAAAGGGCTGTTACGCATCCGGTGAATATCATGCTGTGGGTGTGTTAAGGAACAGTTACTAAAACACTGTTTTCTCCAGCATCATACCGTCAGTTATTTTAAATATTACTCAGTTATCTATTTTAAGTTTCAAATGTTATACACTCTAAAAAATGCTGGGTTAAATACAACCCAGTGCTGGGTAAAATAGGGACAAACCCAGGAAATTGGGTTGTTTTGACCCAGCAGTTGGGTTAAATGTTTAAATGTTTAACCCAACCTTCTGGGCAGTAACCCAACTGCTGGGTCAAAACAACCCAATTGCTGGGTTTGTCCCCATTTTACCCAGCACTGGGTTGTAGTTAACCCAGCATTTTTTTAGAGTGTAGTAGCTACTGTTGCTTTCAAACTTGAAAAGCTCAAATTTGGCTGCAGACAAAAGCGAATCTCTTTACTACCTCATTTAGATGTATTGTTTTAAGAGGCGAGCTCAATCAATTTGTTCAGTTTTAATGGTTAAACATACTATAGGTTCAATAACAAATTGGGAAGAAATGTAATTTTAATGGAATAGTTCACCCAAAAATTTAAAGTTGCTGACAGTTTACTCACCCTCAGGTCATCCAAGATGTAGATGAGTTTGTTTCTTCATCAGATTTGGAGACATGTAGCATTGCATCACTTGCTCAGCAATGGATGCTCTGCAGTGAATGGGTGCCGTCAGAATGAGAGTCCAAACAGCTGATAAAAACATCACAGTAATCCACACCACTCCAGTCCATCAGTTAACATCCTGTGAAGCAAGTAACATGAAAATATGAGTCCATAATCTATAATAATGCTTCTACCAGTGATAAATGTCCTCTCACATCAATGTTTAGAGCTGTTTTGGTTTTCAAATGGCATTTAATCGGTGCATATATTTCTCTCCTGATTCAGACGAGATGACTTTCAGTGGAGGAAGCAATATTATGTATTATGGACTCATATTTTAATCTGAAGTAATGGTTTGAAAATAAATATGTCTTGATGGATTTGTTTCTTATAAACACACTGGTGGACTGGAGTGGTGTACATTATTGTGATGTTTTTATCAGCTGTTTGGACTCTCATTCTGACGGCACCCATTCACTGCAGAGGATCCACTGCTGAGACACTGATGCAATGCTACATTTCTCCAAATCTGATGAAGAAACAAACTCGTCTACTTCTTGGATGGCCTGAGGGTGAGTAAACTATACCTTTAAATCACTGCACAAAACAGGAGTTTCTTATAAGAATGGATGCTTCACCAAGTGCACAGACGAGTCTCTCTCTCTTTCTGACCTTGCAGGAATTCACAATCAGCAGCGGGACGGGCCGCGGGCGGGTGAGTGGGGGGTTGCCATGGAAATGGCTTCCGTCGGGCAACAGAGGTCAGACGCTCCAGGAGCCACGTGCAATTCACGGATTCCCTCTCATCTCGCCACAGACTCCTGAAAGTATGTGCAGCCGAGACACATTGGGCAACTCATAATTGATCCTCGGTTACATATTTCGGCTGCGTCGAGCCGTCTCGCAGATTCGCATCCCGAAGGCATTTGCTTTCGAGCTCCTCGCACACCGCATCCCACGTGCTGAAAGATGGGCAGCTGGAATAATCGTGTCAGAACAGGCCTGTTCAAGCACAAAAATGATTCAGGGTTTTCTACAGAGGACAATTAACCCATGCAACAATTAAAAAAAAAACATGCCAGAGGTGTGACATCATGCTTAAACCTCCAAGAAAAAAAGCCGGAAAATTGAACTTCTAGATGGATGTTTCTCGGAAACTTTAGTCACCCTTGTCTGAAGGGTCCGGCTTCAGACATCTGGTGCGATTGCAGCTCGCGTTTACCTTTGGCCTTTCTGCTGGTTTCATAACAGAGAACCACAGCTTTTGTCCTGGAGAAAGTCAGTCTCATTATTCACACATCCAAACAAAGAGAAATCAAATCACAATAGATGCTTTTTTCTTCTCTGGTGTGCGTTCAATATTGCCAGATAATTGTTTGGGACATTCCTCTGGCTCTCAAGTTTTAACTCGAGGTCACTCCTGCGAATAACAGATTCCATGCTGTCATTAAACATTCAGCTCGAGTTTTTCTCCAAACTTCCTCCTGTTGTCAAGCCCCAGTTCAGTTCAACAAAGGCAGACGGAGGCAAGCTTCAGCCTGTCCCTGCTCCATCATTACCGCGCTCGCCGAACTTACTGTTTAGGTTTTTATGCTGCTTTTTTTTTTTAATGAACTGCTTGGTGCGTGATTCGCATGACTTCACCTTTCTGCACTGTAATATTCTCGACGATGTGAGAACTGGGTCACGGCTTTCAAACACCTTTCCTTCAATACCGAATCTAATTCTGGTCCTCACAGACACATTTATTTTGAAATTGGGTAAAAGCATGCTTAATTTACAGTGGTGTGAAAAAGTGTTGGCTCCCTTCCTGATTTCTTATTTTTTT